TGTACAGGCAGCTCTCCGCGAAGAAATTTATGTTTTTTATATATCTTTTTCTTTTTCTTTTTTTTGTTTTTTTTCTGTATTTCTTCTCCCTTATAATAAAATATTAATGAGTAGTCCGCTTGTAGGCACTCACTTTATATTTACTTGGTGGGGTGCACTCTCAGGTAAACCCTAAACCCTAAACCCTAAACCCTAAACCCTAAACCCTAAACCCTAAACCCTAAAACCCTAAACCCTAAAACCTAAACCCTAAACCCTAGAACACACTGGTAGGCACTCACTTTATATTTACTTGGTGGGGAGCACTCTCAGGTAAACCCTAAACCCTAAACCCTAAAACCCTAAACCCTAAACCCTAAACCCTAAACGATATACTCTAAACCCTAAACGCTAAACTGTAAACCCTATACCCAAAACCCTAAATTCTAAATTCTGAATCCTACTGCTGCTGCTGCAGTTGCTGCTGCTGCTGCTGCTGCTGCTGCTGCTACTGTGTTTATTGCTGCACCGCCAGATTATTTTCTTTCCTTTCATTTCCTTTTCTCTCGTTTGCTGCTGCTGCTGCTGCTGCTGCTGCTCCTTCTGCTTCTGCTTCTGCTGCTATTGCTCTTTCTGCTTCTGCTGCTGCTGCTGCTGCTGCTGCTGCTGCTGCTGCGTGTGCTGCTGCTGCAGGTGTCTTAGTACTTTGTGCGTTGCTGCTGGGTTTTATAGGTATTTTATATTTAGGAATAGCAGTGAATGCTGCATGCTCTATGTCTGCTGCTGCTGTTGTTTCTTTTGTATGGGGAGCAGCAGTAAACAACGATAGAATAACATTTCTTGCTGCTGATGCTGCTGCTGTTTTTTTTATTGTTTTTGGTGCTGCTGCTGCTGCTCTATATAAAGAAACTGCTGCAGCACTACAGTATCTGCAACAAGCTACACATAAAGGTAAAATATCCTGCTGCTCCTGCTGCTGCTGCTGCTGCTGTTGCTGCTGCTGCTGATGTTGATGCTGATGGTGGTGGCGGTTGTGGTGCTGCTGTTGCTGCTGCTGTTGCTGTTGCTGCCGCTGTTGCTGCTGCTGTTGCTGGAGGTGGTGGCAGTGATGGTGGTGGTGCTGCTGCTGATGATGCTGCTGCTGCTGATAATGATGCTGTTGCTGCTGCTTCTGTTGCTGCTGCTGCTGTTGTTGTTGCTGCTGAAACTGTTGATGGGTAAACTAATGGTCTTTGTGTGTGCTTCCTTTGCTGCTGCTGCTGTTGCTGTTCCTGCTGCTGCTGCTGCTGCTGCTGCTGCTGCTGCTGCTGCTGCTG